GCAGGCCATTCCGGCGTCTAGTCAGAGACCTTATAGTCAGTATCCAGCTTACAATAGTGATAGGTAGTAGCTAATCCGCAGCAGGCCACTAAGCCTCATACAAGCCTAAGTCAGAGCCAGTATATTGTGGCATAGCGCCAAGCGAAGCGGGCCTGAAGTCTCCAGCCCGCTTCATCTCTCGGCATGCCAAGCCAGCTGCCTGGGCTCGCCTAGGAGAGAGCCAGTCTCCTGCTCTAGCAGCGATAGCTTCCCTTCTAGCGCCTACTCGGTTAAGCTGCCCCCAGCTAGAGCTAAGGCCCCCCCCGCTAGCCCACGCTAGAATCTCGAGCGCTCCATAGCTCCCAATCGCGCAAGTCCGGGAGCCATCTGGCATCAGATATTCGTATAGCTTAAAGCCTTGTGGCAGTGCAGCTTCATCCAGCAGCCAGGCTGGCTGCTAAGAAGCCGCGCTACAGCGCTCCTCTGCTGAGGGAGAGCTCAGATGCCCACTGAGCCCACCGCCTACATAGCTCTCTAGCTAGGAGTCAGTAGCGCCCTAGATAATAGCTCTTCTAGCTAGCCACTGCGCTGCGCTAGCAGGGAAGGCGCTGGCAGCTCCTAAAGCTCAGCCGAGCAGAGCTGGCAGCTCCCTCTCCTGCAAGCTCCGCCAGCTCCAAAGGAGCCCCGCGAGCAAGTATCCTAGCTAAGCATAGAGCGGCCCCTCATCTATATGAGTACAGAGCAAGGTAGGGAGGCTGCCCGGACAGCACAGCTAGTCGCTCCCAGCTAGCATCCTCAGCTTAGCATCGGCAGGCCCCTCTGGCTTTCCTTACCCCTGCAGCTCCGCTCCTAGCAAAAGCGCTTAAGGAGAATAGGAGCAGGTTAACTTATGCTCCCCGGCACCCTGGTGCTAGGAGCGGCCCCCGCCTAGAGCCTCCTCTCCTAGGAGAAGCGCGCGGCTACAGCCAGCAAAAGCTTATCCCCCTAGGCCTATCTAGCACGGTATCATCCCCGCCGTAGTGTAAGCCCAGATGCGTAGGGGGAGCCCTTAGCCAGCCATAGCCTAGCAGCAGAGCCCCTACGAGCGCGAGAGAAACAAGAGCGGAGCCCGTATCCTGCCTTAAGCCAAAGCGCGCGAGGCAGGGAGCTCATAGGCCTGGCTCCGCTAGCTATAGGCAGCGACAGCTATGGCTAAGGCCTCTAGCGGATGACCCTTAAGTCCTCCTAGAGAGCTCGGCCGGCAGCTAGCAGCCAGAGCAGCAGAATCGAGGAGACAGCAGCAGCCCCGCGGCCCAGCCACCAGGCTAACTGGAAGCAGCTCACTAAGGAAGCGAGTAGCCCCCCCTAGGGAGGGCTTCGCTTAGCTTAGGCGACGCCTCAAGCTCTTAGTCAGGCACTAGGCCTTCAGCAAGCCAGGCACTTCAGCGGGCAGCGAGAGGGGGAGCCAGAGGTAGGAAGCGCGCGTAGGCCTATGAGGCAGAGCTCAAGAGCGGAGCGCTTCGCCCCCGCTCCAGAGCAAGGAGAGCTCCCGCAGCCCAAGCCCAGATAGCGGCGGCGCGCCAGGCGGGAGCGAGTAGAACCCGGCAGAGAGCCCTAGCGGCGAGATGCTGTAGAGGCAAAGAGAGGCCCGCGCAGCCAGCTGGGCAGCCTTCCAGCCTTAGCAGCTAGGAGCTGAGCTAGCTACAAAAGAGCAGCCAGCCGCTAACAGCTAGGGCTGAGCTCCGAGCCTGGGTAGCCTTAGGACCGCCCTAAGAAGCCCCTCAGGGGAGGCCGTGCTCAGAGCCCCAGCCAGAGTAGAGCAGGAGCCGCTCGAGATGCCCCCAGCCCCGCTAGCTAGAAGCCCGATGGTGCAAGGAGCTACAGAGCTAGCTTGCCTTCTTCTAAGATCCGCGCTCCCCACCCCTTAGCGCAGCTCAGCTGCAGATGGATAGCCCAGGCGCTCTGAAGCAAGAATCTAGCCTCCTATCTAGGCTCAGCCCCAGAGGCCCCCCATTCCCAGCTCACTTCTATCTATTGGTTTCCTGTGGTTGATGGGCCGAGAACCGACTGAGTAGCTATCGGCAGTCCAATCTACAAGTCTTCTATCAGATCCCAGCCTCCTGTGTCCTTATTAGGACTACCGATCACGTGCCCATTGTTCACGTGAGGCGACCTGATCGGTCAGTTCTGAGAGAGGGAGAGGCCTGGAAAGCCGCAGTTTACATTGACTATCACTCAGCACTTGGTGGCCCTCTGAACTGCATGTTCACCATTTTACACTTGAGTGGCCGATAATTCTGTGTGTTTATAGCAACATGTGGATCTTTGTTCTTGTCATAGCTCAACTTGGCTAGAAGAGTCATTCACACATTTATTCATAGTAATGCATTTTGGTGGAAAAGTAATCAAGTCTCTAGCTCCAAGACCCCTAATTAGGGCATGGCAAGCTGGCGCCCTCTTCGCGCATGCGCATCGCGTAAAACGAGAGCTGGACGAAACCGTAATGGCGAGCGTCGGTGTACCGGACGCCAGGGAGCTAGAGGGAAGGAAAGACGGAGAGAACCGTCCGTCTTCCCAATCCCGCGATTTCTTCTGGGACTCGGTCACGCTCTTCGTGGTCGGCGCCATACTCGCCCTATCGGCGATCGACGTCGTCTCGGAATTCATCCGCAGATCCGAAGTCCAGTGTTTCTTCGACCGCTCAGCAGTCAATGAATCCTTCGAGAATGTGGGCGAGTACGTAAACGAAAGGTGCGCAGCGAGCCTCCCGCCGGCCGAGTATCTCCCTGCCTTCATCGCCGTTCACGCCATCCTGATCCTGGCCCCGCACTACATCTGGCTGAATATTTTCGGTGCTAACCTAGACTATTTCTTCCACCTGGTGACTGGGCTAGTGCGGACCCGTGAGCCGAGCACGGGCGACTATCCAGAGAGCAACTACGTCATCTCGAAACAACTGGACGCCTTCTCCAGCGGCACCCACCGCACCAACTCCATGTACAAACTCTATCTCCTAAAACTCGCCACCCAAGTAATCCTTTGCTTGGGAGGTTTCATTGTGGCAATTGTGAGTTTTGGTGATTTCAACGAAACCTTCACTTGTCCGGCTAATGAAGGTGAAAGCCTGAGTTACGATTGGCCGCTGACTGGTGAGAGTGTGACATGTGTCTTCACATCTCTCCGTCTCTTGCATAAGATCTGGTTGATATACCTTGTCCTACTTCTGGTAGCCATTCTTTGCCTCACGTTGGCTTTCGTCTGGCTACTCAAAGACCGCACAAAAGAGCTTGGACTTAGAAAAGTTGCGAATTTTTCTTTCCAGACGTCCCTCCCTTTTCATCATTACATCCCGCAGCTTACGCTCTTCAAGAAGCTTTCTGGTCTCCCTCCTACTATCCATAGTCTTCTGTCGTATTTCCCATCCTACTCTATTGGCTCCAACAGTAGCTACCGCATTCAGACGGACTATGATTTCCTCCTGGTCAAGTTGTTTCGTACTGACGGTGGTCTGGCCCAGGTACTGAGAGAGGTCCACCTACTGAGACTACTGAAGGAACTGAATAATGTCGAACTGGCAAGAATCAGCAGTCATCAGACCAATATCAGAGAGACAGGTAAAAAAGGTTTATATAGGCACCTGTTTGTGATTATGCTTGGTGCAGAACTAAGTGGCAACGATAAGTAATGCTTTTCTATAATATAGGAAAGGTCAGTACGCCGACAGTTCTAAAGGACGATATTGGCTGGAGAGAGTTCGAAAAAGTGGTTGAACATGAAACGGTGAATGTTGACACAGCACTGGTGAGCTATAGATGATACTTTGAAGAGTTTTTGCAGTCCGTACTTGTGTATAGAGTGCTTTTATTAAAGAGCATAGAGTCCAAGCCCTACCAATGGCAGACTTTGTAAAGCTTTGTCATTGTGTATTGCTTTGATGCATACATGTTGATATTAGCCATGTGCTATATACCAGCAGCCAGCCACGAAAAGCACTGAAGTGCAAACCCTCGGCGCACTGTGACGCGCACGCGTAAGTAAACGCATGCGCCGTACCACTAATATTGATGGGCTGGGTTTAGTGTTAGCTGTTACTCGTGGTCTCTTGCCAGCTCGCGCAGAGTCTGACGCGGGCTAACTACACTACTAGATAGCATGCGAGAGGCGATACACGCCCTGCGTTGCATCTTCTGGTGCCTCCGAAGTATATACGCAGAGCACGACCGCGGTAAGCCATCCCCGTCCGTTGCGTATTTTCATATTAGCTTTTTCGCGCTCTAGCTCTGCAACGGAGCATTTTCAGAGAAAACCCCACATATTTTCTGACCTTCGTCGCCCGTTGGGTCGATGGTATCGTTTCTGGGACGAACAGACATTCGAGAGGTGAGATGTAGAGTAACAGACAGACACACGGACATACCCAACTACTGTAACCCTCGCTGCGCATGCGCGCCGAGGGTTAATGAGCCTTTGTGCTTTGGGACACTGTTCATAGTACACTTATTCTGTCATCTTGTGGGTAAGCATAAACTGTATAGAATTGTATACAGTGTGTTCTAATAATTTGATTCACAGTTCACTACCTTCCTCCTTTCCTCTTTCTTCCCCAATTTCTCGCCCCTTCCCTCTCATCCAGTTACTTCCACCAACTGTCAGAGGAGTGATGTTGGGTCTATCAGCTCGTTGTGTTGGCAGTCATCCTCCCCCACCACATCCCACTAACAAACTGCTCTGTGGTGCTCTGTGCTTTGTGTTTGACTCCGAGTCCATTGGCTTTGCTGGAGCATTGGCCAGAGTGTTTGAAAGGGTATGGGCATGTCAGATTAACATTTTGTGTACTTTTGTGTTTGGTGTGTTCTCCATAGAACTTGAGTACCTTATACATAACTGGGAGGTATATATAGCGCTGTACCACTGTTTTAGCATGGTACCATCCAGTATGTTATACTTTGCTACTATTACTATTATGCAGGTGGCAGTGATAAACTTTAGCAAGTCGTATGCAGACTATGAAAATCCGGTGCATGTCAATGTCAGCAACTCCTTCCTCGTTAGTATGACGGCCCCACATGATATTGTCATGGCAAACTATGTGGTCCAGACAAACAAGGTGAGTGTATGAAGATATAACTCCCTGCTTTACACCTGTCTAAGTAAACCTAAGTGGCACTTGCTACTTGCACAGTTGATGTGTCTTTGTTAGTATATGCAAGATTTAAACTTAATTGCATTCTTGCACCAGGTCCTATAATTGCTAAATTTTTTTGACTGATAATGCATACAGCAGTTTGCAAGGGTACAATAGAGATCAATAGGGAAAGGGTGTTCACATACATTGACTGGTGCTGTAGAAATAGTTCCTATTGTTGCTCTATATAGCTACTAATGTATGGGGACGATGGGGTGAGTGACATGACATTTTTTCTCAATAGGAGGCAAAGGTAACAAAGCCACAGGAAGCTTCCGCAAGGGTAAGAGATACTTCATAAGGCATGACCAGTTTTTTTGAGCTGCATTATCCGCATGTCACTGACCTTGTATATTCCCCATGCACATCATTTTTACTCCACAATATTTACATATGTATTCAACAGAGGGCTTTTCTAAAGTAACTCAGGCTCTGCTCATTATACCTACTGTTGTTTTGTGTATTGGGGCTGTGCCATGCAAGCACTCATGATGCTGTAACTTGTGTTTTTCGTTTTAGTTTTTTCACTTTGTGGACGAGGTATGGAGGCGTGACCACATTTACCATATTCGTAAGAGGGAGCTGATGCAAGCAAGAGGAGAGAAGTATACTGTACCCGAGCTTCCCCAGTTTCTTACCGACTACATAGTTGTTGGACCAACCTCCTCTGATCTTCAAACACACACTGGTATATATAGTGGGTGATAAATTTTTTTTTCTTCCTTCGGCATAGGGTACAAATTTTGCAACACCGAAGGAAAAAAATATGAGAACACTGGATGAGAACGTGAAAAAGTTAATTACTGTATGTAGGATCAATGCAATATACTGTACCATGCACAAAAGCCTGCAAAGTAACTAAGTTGTGGTAGGTAGCATTGCACGACAGGTCGTGGATGGGGAAACAACATCGTAGGATATACTCACAGGATTTATGTGACTTTGTATTGTGCTGTGTCTTAGTCTTCTGCGGTTAACATAGAGGCGCACACACTTACACTCCACACGCACACATAACTTTTTTGAAGTCTGATGGGCTTTTACGTATATTATGTCTTTCAATATTGGCAGCCATTCCAACAGATCATGTACCTACGGTTACTTAAACATGCCAAGTGAACACTAAAAGCTCTTTGGCTAGGAACTGAACATAGAGTGAGCATTGATAGGAGTGTAGCCATAACTCCTGGAATTTGAGTACAAGTAAATGGATGCTCTCCCACAGATTTCACACCTTATATATATTTCTGCAGTGGACATGTTCTTGAAGAAAAAGAGCCGCTACATATCAACCAATGCTGTTTTGTTGTACGTTACACCTCTGGAGGTCTCCGGAGTGAAGGTGAAACAAGAGAGCCAGCTGGACCCCTACACACCCTTCAAGTAAGTCTGTACACAAGAGTACAGTGGAATCTCTAAACAAGGGAGACCATGGAACAATGATTTTGTCCCTTGTAGAGAGGTTGTCCGTATGTCGGAGATCATGCTAAAGTATTAGCATGGAGATGAAACAAGTGTCGCTTGTAGAGAGGTCGTCCCTATCTCGGAGGGTCCCTATCGGAGGTTCCACTCTAAATGATCACTTTTCCCCGTAATAAGGATTTGTGTTTGAGTGGATGAGTACACTCTTAATTTCACTAATGCAGCTACTTTCCTGGTGGCTGGTGAGTAGGTTACAATAACATTTGTGTAATGTTTTACTCCATTCTACAGGTTCAGAGAGCTACCACACAAATTCCCAGACCCTTCCGATGTTGAAAGAGTGATGCCCACTGCCTATTCTTCCTGGCCGCAGAAGATCTCTGCTTCAGACGTAACCCGCCTAACACCCCACGAGTGTTCTGCGAGCAACGATTGGGTGGTGAAAACGGGGGAAACTACAAGCAAGATTCAGTTCAGAGTGTTTACACGCGAATCGTCCATTCTGCCACCTACCACCAGTGCCACAGCAGCCACACAGAGCCAAACAAGTGCCACACAAGGACAAGCCACAGCCACACAAAGCCCAACAAGTGCCACACAAGGCCAAGCCACAGCCACACAAAGCCAAACAAGTGCACCACAGGGACAAGCTGCAGTCGTAAAAAGCCAAGCCGGTAGTACGTCTAGTGTCAAGCTTCCAAAGAAGGCGACTAAAGACCCTTTTGAAAAAGATGAAAGTGATACATGCTCATGTTGACTGGAAGCAAACACACGAGCATGGCATTTGATAGATGCAATTGTACTGTGTATGATGTACATGTATACTTCCCATGTCATGTCGTATATTCTATCAAAATAGTTAGGAAAATCTGATTTGCTCTCAGACCACATAATTATGAAGCATTTTTAATAACTTAATGCATTCTTACAGTCATTATTGATGAACTTGTGTCTTTCACTGTATATTGATTATATTTATCTCGGTTTCTGAAGTAGCTTTAACTTTACATCTCAGTAGGAACCCTGTAATGGTCCTCGTTGCCACACATGGGGCATACGGGCCTGCATGCACACTTTGAGCAATAGATGTACTCATTTCCGTTGCTTTCACATTCAGTGCAGTTGTTCTTCCAGGGACGGTTTTTGATCTCTCGGTCATTTTCGCACTTGTGAGGAGCTTCTTTGGCATCATTGGCACATTGTATCTGCCGGACACATAACAAATAGGCTGTTATAGATACACTTATGCAAATGTAGTCGCTATAGAATAGCACTGGGTGAAGAGAGCCTTTTTATGCCAAAGTATATAGGCCATTTGATGTCATGAAACACAAAAAATGCGTGGGGGTTTAAAAGGTGTGTTGATGCATAGATAAAGGCAGGGCACCCAAAACTTACCGGTTTCTTGTCAGTGCCAGTGGCTCTGAAGCCTTGCCTTCTGTAACGGTTTGTGGTTTCTTGTCAGTACCAGTGGCTCCTGAAGCCTTGCCTTCTGTAGCGTTCTATAATGAAAACAACAGTGGGATCTATAATGTGCGCTTTATCTTTGAAAAATGTATATATACAAATCCATCACTGTAAGTATGATTAATGGGCAATACATTACACAGCCATCGTGAAACCTACGTGAGTCAAGCAAACACAATTATAATGAATATGTGGTTGTATGCATATCTCAGGCCATTTACCCCTTCTAATTATGTCTCAGCACAGAGTTATTTGGCTTGCCTATCTATGTTCTGAGTTGTATTGTGGAGTCTTCTTACTGAGTTCCATGGGCTTGCCTTCTGTAAAATGTCAGAGTTGAAATTCAACCAAGAGCCACTCTATTCCACCTGCTTGCAGTTGTGTTGTTTGCCTGGCCTTTGCCTTGCAACATCACTGCTATCTCTCTTTTTTCTTACCTCATCTTTAATAGCATTAGCAGAATCTCCTTGACTCGTAGCATCAGCTCCGTTTCCAGCTACCTCTGCTCCCTACACACAGCAACAAATGCACCGTGTGTGTAGCTACTTAAGTTTTCAAATTCTCATTCTAATTTACTTGAGGCTAACAAGCCTGCATATTATAGGCTCTCAGTCAATGGGTAATGTTAATTTCAACACTGTGTGTCACAAACAAACTAACACAAAGGGGGACACTTCCTTTAAGCATATTATACAGAATATGTTCCTTTACGCCATAGGCAAAAATTAGCCTACAATAGCTACACCCTTACATACAGGCCAAGTAGCTAACAGAGCTTGTGTGGCAAAACAGAAGCAGCAGAGTACAGTAAAAATGCTGCATGCTAAAGGAAAGTTACTGCCGGAATACGGATTAAGTTTTTGTTAATATTGAGGCTCAAAAGGGGTTTTAACTTACAGTTTTGGCAGGGTCTTCATCAGTGTCGTCATTGTCTGGAGTATTATTAGGCCCTGGAGCTGGCTGCAGTGAACATAGACCATTGGGCTATATCATACATTATTTCCAGTTTCTAGTTGGCTTTGCTAATATATACTGTGAAGCACTGTTCTCACACCTTATCCCCCTTCTTCTCTTCCTCGGACATTATTCTTCCTCCTCTATCGCTAACTTCTACAGAGTTAATGAGATGTAGAAAAGAGAAGTGGCAAGAAAATGGAAGTTAGGGAAGGGGGACAGACAGACAGACAGTAGACAAAGACACACAATGTGAGATTTTTGGACTCACCTCTAGCTAGGTAGCTATACCAGTTTCCTGTGGTTGACGGGCCGAGAGCCGACTGAGTAGCTATCGGCAGTCCAATCTACAAGTCTTCTATCAGATCCCAGCCTCCCGTGTCCTTATTAGGGCCACCGATCACGTGCCCATTGTTCACGTGAGGCGACCTGATTGGTCAATTCTGAGAGAGGGAGAGGCCTGGAAAGCCGCAGTTTACATAGACTATCACTCAGCACTTGGTGGCCCTCTGAACTGCATGTCCACCATTTACACTTGAGTGGCTGATAATTCTGTGTGTTTATAGCAACATGTGGATCTTTGTTCTTGTCATAGCTCAACTTCAAGGGTATATAGAAGAGAGAGCAATAGGACCATTTTGATACTCTCCCCACACCCCACCCCACTCCCTACCTTCTATATTATACTCATCATGAAATATTTTAGCTACCTACTTTTATGCTACATAATACTGTAGGTCACTGTAGTCATGCGTATCAACCCCTCATTACAGGAGGGGGAGGCTAGGCACACCCGACGCGCGCCTAATTGCGCATGCGTATCCGAGTGCGTCTCAGATCAAGGTGTAGCGCTAGCGAACGGACCAGTCGGCGATGGCGAGCATTGGTGCACTGGATGACCAAGGAGTTGGAAGGACGTAAGGACGGCGAAAACCGTCCGTCCGTCCAGTCCCGCGATTTCTTTTGGGACTCGGTCACGCTCTTCGTGGTCGGCGCCATTCTCGCTCTGTCGGCGATCGATTTCTTCACAGAATATGTCCGCGGATCGGAGGTGCAATGCTTCTTTAACGATTCGGCAGTCGGCCAGTCCTTCAAGAATTTGGAAAACTACGTTAACGAAAGGTGCGCAGCGAGCCTCCCGCCGGCCGAGTATCTCCCTGCCTTCATCGCAGTTCATGCCATCCTGATCCTGGCCCCGCACTACATCTGGCTGAATATTTTCGGTGCCAACCTAGACTCTTTCCTCCACCTGGTGTCTGGGCTAGTGCGGACTCGTGAGCCGAGCACGGGCGACTATCCAGAGAGCAACTACGTCATCTCGAAGCAACTGGACGCCTTCTCCAGCGGCACTCACCGCTCCAACTCCATGTACAGAATATATATCCTGAAATTGTTCGTTCAATTACTCCTATCACTCGGAGGATTTGTTCTGGTACTTTTGTATTTTAGGAATTTCGACGAGACTTTCACTTGTCCTGCTAATGAGGCCGAAAGAACAGGTTACGATTGGCCGCTGACTGGTGAGAGTGTGACTTGTGTCTTCACTATCTCTCCGCCTCTTGCACAATATCTGGTTGATCTACCTCATACTGCTTATAGTAGCTATCCTCTGTCTTACACTGGCTTTCATCTGGCTACTAGCTGACCATACAAAGGAGCTTGGGCTTAATAAAGTAGCTTCGTTCTCTTTTCAAACATCCCTCCCTTTTCATCATTACACACCTCAACTCTCCTTATTCAAGAAGCTTTCTGGTCTCCCTCCTACTATCCATAGTCTTCTGTCGTATTTCCCGTCCTACTCTATTGGCTCCAACAGTAGCTACCGCATTCAGACGGACTATGATTTCCTCCTGGTCAAGTTGTTTCGTACTGACGGTGGTCTGGCCCAGGTACTGAGAGAGGTTCACCTACTGAGACTACTGAAAGAACTGAATAATGTCGAACTGGCAAGAATCAGCAGTCACAAAACGGTAGCTGATTTCACTCATGAAGAAAAAAGTGGTACGATATTATTTTTTTTAGAGTAAACATAATATCTATGCAAGTCAATGTGTATTGATGTTAGTAGGTGTGTAAGTCTTTCTGCTTGGTTGAGTGTGGCATTATTGTTTTCTATAGCATTCGTTGACACATTGTTCCTGAACGCCGAACTTGGGTGGAATGATCTTAAACATGCAAAGGAACACTTCCAAATTGAGGCAGACACTCCACTGGCAAGTCTTAGTGTAGCATACTGTAACTGTTCCAATGTGAGAAAATATCTGTTTAGCATTTTTCCAATTCATGCATGCATCCATCAGCCAAACACTAGTTGTGTATAGCACCTGGCTTACCTTAATCTGCCAATGCTTGTACAACTAGATTGCTGTATTTCTTTTATTATGACAACGTCATCCACTCATATAAGCTACTGGTTAGCCATGCAGTATTCTGCAGTTGCTTAGTACTGCTCATGCTATCTTTCATGACGCTGTCCTGTAATCCTATACAGCTACTACCACCAACAATAAGAGGGGCTGTGTTGGGACTCTCAGCACGCTGCATCGGCAGTAAGATAGAGCCTCCCCCACCACGGCTCCAGGAGAAGCTACTCTGCGGTGCTCTGTGCTTTGTGTTTGACTCCGAGTCCATTGGCTTTGCTGGAGCACTGGCCAGAGTGTTTCAGAGGGTGGGTTTCACACTGTGATGTGTGCCGTGTGACTGCATGCAGGTCTCTCTAACTGGGGAGCGAGGAGATAGGCACACAGTTGTTAGTATCCCATTGAATATGAGCTACCTAACTCTAGATACAGACTCAGCCGGAGTAACGCAAATTATGTTGAGAAATAAACTTTGAGCATAGCTATATACACACGGCATTGTTAGGTCCCCTTTCCTGGGGGTCAGTTGCTAGAAATTAAAATGCCGGGGTTCACGAATTTATTACAACTTTGTCCAAATAACTTCTCATCATGAAACCTATGCTCTTCTTCTTTTCCTTATGGTAAAGGTGGCAGTGCTGAACTTTAGCAAGGCTTACTCAGACTATGAGAATCCGGCGTGTGTCAACATCAACAATGCGTTGGTCGTGAGTATGACAGTACCCCACGACATCCTCATGACAGAGAATGTGATCGAGACACATGTGGTGAGTGGAAGAGTGACAATAAAACACTCACGAGTCAAACTTTGCTCGTTTCTTATAATTGTGCATCTCGCAGTGCACAAAAGGAGATGGGTCCTTCTACAATAGCGTTGATGTAATAGTTTACTCCCATAATTATACCTCTATATTGGAGTTGTATGAGACTAATGCTTCTGTAGTGTATGATACTTCAGTCTTCTGTCTCTCACAACAAAGTTGCAGTAACAGCTTTATTTTATTGTCTGTCTTTGTCTCTCGCCCATAAAGTTGCACTTGCACTAGGGTATAATTATAGCTACCTACGTTCTATTCACCGAGTTGTCGGGAGTCAAAGCTGCACCGTGTAAAGATGTTTCGACACAATGCCTCACTGGTTGCAGAAACATGTTTCCTATTTAGACTCTACAATCTCTGAGTGCCTTTGATGATGGTACTAAGCATCATGTGGCTATATATTATAGGTACTTCGATACTAAGCACCATGTGGCTAGGTACTTCTAATACTCTGGTGACTGTTAGTGCAAGGTTGTCACTTGAAATAACTGCTATATTATAGCTAGCAGTTCACTGGCAGCAATAGTTACTTAGAGGAGACGAGATTTTGTAAGCTCAGTGCGTAGTGCACTGGACTTACATTCTTAATGCCTGAGTCAACTCCAACTCTGAACAAAAGTTGTTTCTTTCTCTTCCATGCCTGTGTATATACACAGCTACCATACTAATATTTCATTATTGTACATGATGACACATGATGACAACAAACAGGACACAGGAGATGAAAATGCCAGGTGTATAATAAGGAAGAAAGCCGTCACAAGGGTAGGTTTCAATAAAATGGCTAAGTAATCTAGCCTCACACATTTACTATACTACAGTGCAGTATAAACAGTTGGTTTTAAGGGAATAGACAGTACAGAAGAGCTAATATTCAATTGGGCCCATTGAAATTATCACTTTTTATATATAGCCTGCTAAATTCCCTTTAAACTTGCTGGACCATAGAAAATGACATTGTAGCGTAAAGTGATAGTTTTTCAATCAGTAAGCCTCAAATGACACATTCACTCAGTTCTATGATGACTTTGCTGATGAAATATGGAGGCCAGGGTTCATCTATGACAAGAGGCAGGATGAGATAAGGGCAGCGAAGGGGCAGCCCCTGACGGGAGCTCACAGGAAGCTGACTCACTATCGCACTGACTACCTAGTCATCGGACCCATCTCCACCAATCAACAGAGAGCTACCGGTGAATACAGTGGAACCTTCGAACAAGGGACACTATGGGGCCAATGATTTTGTCCCTTGTATAGAGAGGTCGCCCCTATCTCAGAGGTCAACTAGAATTAGCATGGGGTTGAAGTTGAAACAAGTGTCCTCTGTAGAGAGGTTGTCCCTGTCTCGGAGGGTCCCTTATCAGAGGTTCCACTGTATAGTATGCACAGTAGCTACTGCCTGATTTTCTTTGTTGTACGAACGTGAGATAAACATTGTTAGCTACAACGTCCTCCAGCATTTGCATACTATTACTGTGTGTGGTTATCAAGGCCCTTTTGTGTGTGTATGGCATACTAAAAACTTTTGTGACAAAGTACTCTTGTAAATCTTATAAGAAACTTCCCGAAATAAGAGTGAAAAGTGCACGGTTAACCAACCGGGAAGCTCAGACGGCATGCTATAACGTAGTTAGTTGCAAAGGAGATTTTCCTTATTAACATAGGACACCTCAACAATTTTTTTCATTGTCCATGCAATTTTTTTCTCTGATTGCTGTACTACTCCGCAATTAGTTGTGAAGAGATTGCATCCTCTAAACTTTGACAATACTGTATTTCATTGTCCATACAATTATAGGGGTTTTGTGTATTCCACCAGGAGCACATGCAAGAGTCTTAACATTTCTTTATGAAAAGTTATGTGTACTGTCTCCAGTGAACATGTTTTTGAGGAAAAAGAAGAGTCACATGTCAAGAAAAGCAGTTCTGTTGACACTTGAACCTCTGGAGATATCAGGAGCAAAGGTGGACAAGAACTGCTTTCCGCCTTTCAGGCCCTTTGGGTGAGAACTGCTATTACTAGTGGAAATGTTAAACATTGTTGGCGAGCGGCAGCGACCCAAATGGGATTTGCCCGCGATGTTCGGGCTGCGTGCCGTGAGCAGCACACAGCTTTCCTTTCGTGAAGCAAGACAGATCTACCTGTCGCCGTTGCATGCGTATTGTACATCGACAGAACGGTGAGCAGGTGAGCAGAACGGCATGAGGAGAGTTCTCTCGCTGGCTAGATCGCTCGGCCCATATCGCGAGGCACCCGTCTGTGAAAAATTAGGAAATAATTTCGGATAAAAAGAAGCGCGTAGAAAGCCGCGCATGCGCACTTACACGACGTACGCCGTCGAAGTCCGCTCGAACGAAAGACTAGGTTGGCTCGCTCCCGCTCGCCAATTAGCAGTAGTTAAGATACCTCTACAAAATTTCCATGGTTTTCAATCTCCTTTATGTCAATTCCAATGCCATCTTCACATAGCTGAATAGCTACTTTAACCGACTGTATGTAACACTCGTCATGTGTTATTGGGATCCCTTTTATTTTTTTAGTTTTCCTATAAATGGTCTACTTTAGACAAATCTGTGTCAGTTGGAGACACTGCTTTTATAGAACGTCTTAGTAAGCCCTTTTGGTCCACTCCAGGTCCACTTGTATCGGTAAGTAAAGTTTGGTTCTTGTTACATTCACAGGTTTACAGCACTGCCACATAAAGCACCCGACCCCAATGATGTCCAGGCTTTCGTTGATGCTGATCCAAACTCAAACGTATACTCCTGGCCACAGAGCATTGCTAGTACCTCTGAGGAGGCTGAGATAACCACGAACGTGAATTCTACTGCTGTAAAGGATTGGGTCGTAAGGACAGGGGATACCAGAAGCAAGTTTCGTTTCAGTTTATTCACGACTTCTACCACAAGCAGTGCCACACAGGGCAATACTGGAGCAACACGAGGCCAAACTGCTACCACAGGAGGTCAAACAACAACCACCGGAGACCAAACTACTACCACAGGAGGCCAAACTACCACTGGAGACCAAACAACTACCGCTCGAGGCAAAATAAATACCACAGGAGGCCAAACTGCCAGTGATACTAAAGAAAGTGAAGCTTGTAGTATGCAACAGGGAACGGCACAAAGTGACACAAGCATAGACATATAGAGAGTCTTAGGATCAACTATCTATCATGATTGACCATTACAGTGTGTATTATAGCTACTTATTGGCTGTCTAGCTTATGAGCACATACACAATGCTATTAGCTATGTCTTAGCTACTCACCACAGTAGCTATCATTGCCAAAAAATTAAGACCTCTGTATAATTATTGCTGGCTGATGAGGAAATGTATTACTTGTAGCTCAGCAGATGTGCACCACCTGAATAGCACAGAAAAACACTTTGTATCTGCAAAGTTACGCTGTCATACAACACAGAGGGGTTTTGCCCATTGTAAAAATTTACTCAGTCACACTAACTTTTTCCACTGAAAACAGATTCACTCAGATATATAATAATTAGTTCCAAGTCAACTGGTATAGAAATAGTTTCCGTAATCCCTCAAGTAAGATTGACCAATGTTTCACATGTATATAGGTTTAGGCTCCGGTTCTCCGTCTATTACGTCACTGTCACATATAGGGCACTGGTCGTGTTTCGTGGCACACGATTCGCAGAGTTGGTGATCGCTCCGAGTGACCATACTATCGTGCCCCGCCTCCCTGGAGCATTCGTAACGACTGTTGTCATAGAGATGGACATCTCTCCCTCCATTGGGGCAATTGTAATACTCATTTGTGGTGGTGCATTTCTACCAAATAAAAGAACAGAGGTTAATAAAAAAATTAGAGAGCATTTTGAGTGCAGATGTTAATCGGTGACCAAAACCAGAAAAAATGCATTCATAGTTCTTTTTTCTTTTCTTTTTGGCTTATCCTATTTGTTGCTTCTCAGAGGCGTCCAGATTACTATGAAGCTTTTAAGTTAGTATTAGAGGGTCAACGTTTACTCACAAAACTACTTTGCTTACATAGGCAGCTCATGGTTGAGGGCAGGGCAACCACAAGCCACAGTGCGCATAACACAAAGGATGGGGTTTGGCAGTGTACGCTGGGTTGGTCAGCTAAGTTAGCAGATTGGGTAGCCAGTCAACAGCCTATATCCTGTAAGCCCTGAGACGCCTGATATTAACTGATTTGTAGTTCAACTAGCCATCTGCTGCATAATGGATTATTGTGTCCAGACAATTTACACTACTGTCTAGCTCTAGATGTTGTGATAAGGACTTTCTGTGTCAAATACTGACATTGGTCAGCCCACAGCTCAGAATACAGCAAGCGTTGATTGTCTTGAAGTTGGACTACAAAGCTTGCATGGTGGGTTAGAAGCTACAGCTATGGTATCTGTTGCCATACCTTAACACCTACAAGATTACTGGTTAACCTTGGTAGCTACTAGTGGTGCTCACCCCTACTAGCTGAGTGTGAGTGGCAGCGAGGTTGTCTTCGTCATTGTCATCATCGTTAGTTTTTGCTGCAGCCGTCTTCTGCAAATTGCATGATGAACAATAAAAAAAAACGTGTGTGTGGTTTTGGACGCACTATTCTCAACGCCCCATGTGAGCTTTATGTATAAATCGTGATTCATACCAATGACATGCTTGAATGTAGATTTTCCTTAAAACACTGTTGCTCCTGTACTGCAGAAATAAGGAAAAAGGGGTTAAAACAAACAGGTGGACACTATGTACATATCTCTACCTCACGAGGAAGATCCAAACATTAGGGTGAGAGGGAAGAAATAGCCAGACAGGGAGAGGGAAAGAAGAGAGTGAAGAGAAGTGAGGGTGTCTTGCCACACTGAAGTAGGTCGATCCAGGCGTGGCTCCGCGAGTGAGGCTTCCTGCTTCCTGCTTCCTGCCTGAGTACCGCGCCCTCTCACGTCGTTTTAATAGTGCGCATGCGTATAACAATTAGGACCGATCCCGTCGTACGTGTGAGTCAGTGGAAAGATGTCGCTCTCTAATGCAGTGCCGGACGCCAAGGCGTTGGAGGGAAGAAAGGACGGCGAGAACCGACCGTCCTTCCAGTCCCGCGACTTCTTCCTGGACTCGGTCACGATCTTCGTGGTCGGCGCCATTCTCGCTCTGTCAGCCATCGACGTCGTCTCGGAATTCATTCGCCGATCGCGCGTCCAATGTTTCTTCGACCGCTCGGCGGTCAATGACTCCTTCGAGAATGTGGGCGAGTATGTTAACGAGAAGTGTGCAGCGAGCCTCCCGCCGACCGAGTATCTCCCTGCCTTCATCTCCGTTCACGCCATTCTGATCCTGGCCCCGCACTACATCTGGCAGAACGTCTTCGGAGCGAATCTGGACTCTTTCTCTCACCTGGTGTCGGGCCTATCGAGAACACGGGACCCCAACACGGGCGACTATCCGGAGAACAACTACGTCATCTCGAGACAACTAGACGCGTTAACCAGCGGAGCCCACCGCTCGAACTACATGTACAAATTCTACCTCGTCAAATTGATTTTTCAATTGTTGTTTGCCGTCGGAGGATTAGTCCTAGTAGTTGTGAGCTTTAGAGATTTCAACGATAGCTTTACTTGTCCTGGCGACATGGAGGACACATTGAGTGACGATTGGCCGCTGACTGGAGAGAGGGTCAAATGTGTCTTTACGTCTCTGCGTCTCTTGCAAAAGATCTGGTTCGTCTACCTCATACTGCTAGTAGCCGCTCTCATTTGCATTACTTTGTCTTTCCTAATCCTGCTATTCACTGATCACACGAAAGAGCTTGGTCTTGAAAAAGTCTCTGAATTATTTTTCCAGACGTCGCTTCAATTCGAACATTACACCCCTCACCTCACCTGGGGCGAGAAACTCTCTCATGCTTTTCTTGCCCCTTTTCCCGTGTAAGCGCTTTGCCGATAGCTCTGTCTACCGCATTCAGACAGACTATGATTTCCTCCTGGTCAAGTTGTTTCGTACTGACGGTGGTCTGGCCCAGGTACTGAGAGAGGTCCACCTACTGAGACTACTGAAAGACCGGAATATTACAGAACTGGCAAGTGTTATCAGGCACAGGGCAATAACTGACCTTACGGACGTTGACCTTACTGAGAAGGAGAAAAAAGGTATGCCTTTGCTTGGCATGTGACCTTCAACCAATCACATCCTTCCATTTTCACAAGCATGCTGTTTTTTATCGTTATCACACACTAAGATTAAAACTGCATAATGCTTTAAGGTTACTATTAATTGTGGGTACTAATTTTAGCGTTTTTGCACTGAGTTTTTTTTGCCGTATACTAATTTTAGCGATTTGTCTAAATTTTTGTTCTATTTAAGCGAATTTAGATGTTGGCAGATTCAAATTGACCAATCAGTTTGCGTAAAACGTGGATTCTAAATCCCGCATTTTCAAAGTGTGTGTTTCCACGGAGGCGCCCGCCAAAAAATGGCGTCTTCGATGGGGGTGTGGCAAGCTTCTGCGCAAAGAATCTCGCTCTGTCGCTGACAGCTTGCCGGACGATTCAAACTCGCTATATCCCATGCTTCTTCAATGAGGCCTCTCTAAAAGAAACTAAAATGAAGACCTTTTAGCTTCCCTCAGCGAGAACGAGTCTCGCGGAAGACGACGGACCTGGACGATTTTCACGGCCAGCACGGCATTGTCAATGGAAATACACGATTTAGACGGCTTAGTAGCGTCTTCGCTGCGCTCAGACAGCTACAGCTCATGGCAGGGTCCCTCGTGCCGTCTAATTCGCGTATTTCCATTGACGCGCAGTATAGTATAACCATTACGGCACAATTATTAGCGCGCATATAATTTAGCGGTTTTGCTGATTCCCGCTAAATTCGCTAAAATTAGTACCCGCAATTAATAGTAACCTTACGGTAGTGTGTTCTTGTGCAATGCTTTTACATACTACTACGAAAGTAAAACCCACATCTGGTGTTCTATTACCTATGTAGTATTAATGAACAGCAACACAACAACCAAAATTGAAGAACATCTTGGGTGGAAGGAAGTTAAGGTGGATAAATATACGTTGGTGATCACTGACAAGAAATTAAAGAAATTGGTGAGTTAGGGGGAAACTTAAAACCGGTAGAGCTTGAGGGAGTAGAGTTTTGTTTTATGTCTGCAGCATACAATGAAAAGCACTAAAGTGCAAACCCTCGGCGAACTGCGCATGTGCGGTACCACTAATTGATGGGCTGGGCTTTTTATGCCTTACTCGTGGTATCCCGCGAGTAGCTCGCGGAGAGTCTGGTACGGGCTAGCTACAGTAGTAAATAGCATGCGGGAGTCGATACATGCCCTTCGTTGTGACTTGTTGTGCTTTCAAGACACAGAGCGAACGGACGCGGTCGAGGTAAGTCTGTGCTAATTTACATATTGGCTTGTTCACTTGGTTTTCACGCCATAACTTTAGAACACAGTAGTTTTACGAAAATCGCCTTTTTTAAAATCAACCCAGTATAGCACTGAACCCGATCATATCGCTATTTACCTGATTCCGTGCGCGCGGTGGCAGAAAACGTGGTAACAGACAGACAGACAGACAGACACACTTACGGGACAACTACCGTAACCCTCGCAGCGCATGCGCGCCGAGGGTTAATTATGTATCTCCTGATGCCTCCACCTGGTATACAATACAAGTGGAATCAGATAGTAAATTAGCATATTGGATTGTTTGCCATAGAATCCTGTTTGTAACGTTTTTTTTGCCTGCTTGTTGCATGTGGTGGAACAAATTGTCATAACAAAGACACAGACACACACAAACCAACTACACTTGCTGTGCATGTACACTGAGGATTGGCTCCGAAGTCAAGTATATACAGTGCTTTGTTTTCGTGTACTACCATACTCTCTTTCCCTTGTCTTTACCATCTCGCCCTCACTCTGTTTGCTTCTCTCCCTATATATTCCTCTCATCCCCCCCCTTGTTTTTGTCGAATCCAGCATTTGCCATCAACTATAATGGGGGTGGTGAGGGGAATGGCAGCTCGCTGTGTTGGAAGTAAGATAAGTGTGACACCAGAAATATATGTTCCAGAAACTCCAGAAACAGTGCTCTGCGGTGCTCTGTGCCTTGTGTTTGACTCCGAGTCCATTGGCTTTGCTGGAGCACTGGCCAGAGTGTTCAAGAGGGTATGTTTGTGTGAATCAGAGTTGTGTGTGTGTGTTGTGTGATTGTGAAGAAACATAAGGAAGGGAAACAAGGAGAAAGAAGGCAAGAGAGCAACAGGGTTGGGAGGGCTTTTGTCCACATTACCTGGGTGACAACCCAGTGCCCATGCAGCGCCAGCCTTGAGGGGGCGCCGCCACATATGTAGCAACCACGCATGACGTACCCATGAGTTATTGGTTGCGAAGCTAGTCTCGCAGCAGACACTTCGCTAAGTTGTGAACTTGTGCTCGTTCAGATGTGGGCGGGGCTGGCACGTATCTAAGGTAGGTGTGCGCTAGTTAGAGTGCCGGAAAAGTGTCAGTTATTCGGAGTGTCTGCTCTTCGGAGGTTTACGAAGTACAGTATCTATGGGAAAAACAGTTGGTACATAAACATAGTGCACTTTCCGTTATACGGTAGGTGTCCGCTATTCGGAGTGTCCACTAAGAGAGGTTCCACTGTACATAATATTATGTCAGTTGACTATAAGGTTACCTTGCTCCCACTACATAATATTGTGTCTTCTCATTGTGTAATACACAGGTTGGGGTGATCAACTTTAGCAAGTCCTTCACAGACTATGGAAATCCAATCCGTGCCAATTTAGTCTCCACTGATATTGTCAGTATCACTGCACCGTATGATATAGCCATGAATGATCGTGTGGTTGAGATTAAAGTGGTGAGAATACAATCACTGTGTGTTTCCTTCAATATATTAAAACAATGTGATCGGGTGCAAATTAGACATCAAGTCTGTGAAATCTGCACGCTTTAGAAGCCCGAGGGCCCTTGCGTTGTAGCGGTTCAAGCGCAGCGAGGACACTGCGTAAAGGGCCCTGAGGGCTTCTATCGCGCATTACTAAACTCATACAGAGCATCAGCGGACGACCGAATTATAATTCTATTGGCTGTTAATTATACAATGCTCATCTCTAGTCAAGAGTGTTGCCTCCACAGCCTCCACACAACACCCTATACCGTCCACTATTGTGACTTCGAGTTTCTTTCAGCATCTCCCCTATGTATGCACTCTTTTTTACAGCATACAAGTTGTATTTGCCCCAAACTTTGAGTTACTCCTATTGTAGTCTTTCCTCTGTGATGTTTTATGACAATTATTATAATTATCTGTTTTCCCTCAATAGGACTCAAAGTTGTTACGACACATGGAAGCTTCCCAAAGAGTGAGTGATACAATGTGCAAGACTACTTAGAATGCAGTCTTAATAGTTATAGTACGGAAGTCAGTGCTCTGCGCGTGGGAAGGCTTGGTGTATATATATATATAAGGCTGGAGGTTGAAGCACAAAGCTATTGCGCATACATACGTGTGTCTATAGGGGGTTGGTCACGTTTATTGCGCTGCCCTGTCAATTGTGCCCACTCGTTCCTTATGGGTATGCAGGAAGGCTAAAAAGTGAGAGGGGACATGGCCCCCTGCAGGTTTCTGACTTTGTTAAGTGGGCTAGCTATCACTTGTTTGTTGTCTCATGATATATAATGTTGGCCCCATTAAAGTGAATTACTATTTAGCAACACTTTAATTAAACTCTACTTGGACTCTATAAGGGTGTTGGTTACTCAGTAGTGTATTGTAAGTTCTGAGTATTGTAATGGTGAATGTTTAATACTTCACCTAGGTAACAATATAGGGATTGTGTGATGGGGTTGGGGGTGTCAGCGTACTCAAATCTGTTCATTAACCATGCTTCATGTATCCCATCCCTATCCTTTCTTTTTATACCACCCTATATTATGCCTCTTTTTTAAATTCGCAGGATTTACTTGTCTCCACTCATTTTTATATACTACTACGTATTATCTCTGTATCTCTGTGGAAGGGGGCAAGCCCCTATAAAAATTAATAATAGAGAAATGAAAAGCACTAAAGTGCAAAACCTCGGCGAACTTCCCACACGCGCGAATAATATCACGCGCATGGTTCTTTGTCGCGCACTACATGCGCATTGTCATGTCTCGCTCTCTCCCGGTCCTTTGCCTCCTCGCTCACACTGGCCACCGGCTCGCTCACCACCCTTCAATGCTCGTGCTGCCAGCTGGAACCGTAGGGAGTGTTCGGTATTGTCACTATATCCTCCGCGATGTGCCTGACAGCAAAAGCGGTCGAGGTAAGCCGTGGTGATGGTACTCATTAGCATATTGGCTTTTTCACGCCATAACTCTTGAGCGGGGTACTTTACGAAAATAGCCATTTTTAAACGAAGCCAGCATAGCGCTGAACCCGTTGTGTACTACTTTTTGCCCGGTTTATTGCGCGTGGTGGCAGAAACGTGGTAACAACACACAAGACACACAACAGATACAACTACTATAATCCCTCTACGCATGCGCGCCGAGGGTTAAAAATGCCTCATTGACACTTGCCATCAACCCTCCAGGGACACTTTGAGCGACGATTGGCCGCTGACTGGGGAGAGGGTCAAGTGTGTCTTCATAGTCCGTCTGAATGCCAAGTTGGAGAAGTATTGCAGGGTGTGTGCAAG